ACCCAAACCCCCAAAAAAAAACCCCCAAAACCCAAAAAAAAACCCAAAAAAAACCCCATAAAACCCCAAAAAAACAGCAAAAAAACCAAAATAAACCCCAAGAAAAACCCAAAAAAAAAAACCCCCAAAAACCATTAAAACCCCATAAAACCCCCCAAAAAACAGCAAAAATACCCAAAATAAATCCCCCAAAAATCCCCAAAACCCCCCCAAAAAACCCAAAAAGCCCCAAACCCTCCGAAAAACTCCCCAAAACCCAAAAAAGAACCCATAAAACCCCCAAAAAACAGCAAAAAAACTCAAAATAAACCCCAAAAAACCCAAAAAAACCCCAAAAAAGCCCCAAAAAGCCCCAAACCCCCCAAAAACTCCCCAAAACCCAAAAAAAAAACCCAAAAAAAACCCCATAAAACCCCAAAAAAACAGCAAAAAAACCAAAATAAACCCCAAGAAAAACCCAAAAAAAAAAACCCCCAAAAACCATTAAAACCCCATAAAACCCCCCAAAAAACAGCAAAAATACCCAAAATAAATCCCCCAAAAATCCCCAAAACCCCCCCAAAAAACCCAAAAAGCCCCAAACCCTCCGAAAAACTCCCCAAAACCCAAAAAAGAACCCATAAAACCCCCAAAAAACAGCAAAAAAACTCAAAATAAACCCCAAAAAACCCAAAAAAACCCCAAAAAAGCCCCAAAAAGCCCCAACCCCCCCAAAAACTCCCCAAAACCCAAAAAAAACCCAAAAAAACCCGTAATAACCCCATAAAAACCCCCCTAAAAACCCCCAAAAAATAGAAAAAACCCAAAATAAACCCCAAAAAAAACCCAAATAAACCCCAAAAAACCCCAAAAAAACCCAAAAAGCCCCAACCCCCCCAAAAAACTCCCCAAACACCAAAAAAAACCCAAAAAAAACCCCCAAACAAACAAAAAAACCCACAAAAAAACCAGCCCCAAAATCTAAAAAAAAAAAACCAACAAAAGAAAGCAACCCCCAAAAATAAATCCAACAAATCAAAACCCAACCCTGTGTCCCCCTGTCTAGCAAAGGGCCTGAAGAACACGAGCACAGTGGAAATCTGTGTCCTTTGGCTGCAGAGCTCCTGGTGCAGCACTGCAGGGCTGGGCCTGCCTGGCTCCCTCTGAACAGCCCTTGCTCCAAGCCCAAACCCAAGGTTTCAGCTGCTCCTTCCTTCTGGGGGTTAATTTAATTAAAGGACATTTCAGCATCTACAATCCAGAAGGCAGAACTTAAACACTGACCTTTTCCTTTGCTCAGATCCAGCACTAGATTTTACTTCCGAGCCCCTTTTCTAAATTGATATTATCTAAAAATAAATATGCAGAAATTATTCTCTGAAATTGATAAGTAGCTGCTGCAGAAAATCACCAGAGCAGCAGCAGCAGCACATCACAGACCTGAAAAGACCTTCCTGGGCTTCTTTCAGCTTCTATTTAAAATGCAGCAAAAGAGAAGGTTCTGCCAGTAATCTGAGGATTTTTTTTTCAATGTGGATGGGTTGCTGGGTTGTTTGTTAAATTTCTCCTATACTTTACAGGTTGGATCATGGAAAACGTTTGATACATCCAAGTGTGAAAGTGGGAGATGCATTTGGTCTGTTCTTTTACTCAGCTATAGCACAGAACTTCTGACAAGGCAACTTTTGGCCTTGGAATATGTCAAAATTGTCTAATTCGTCAGACTGGACTAAAAACCCCTTAATATGTGTCAGATGCTGGCCCACTGACAGCTTTTAACAATCCAAAATAGCTTTTTGAGGTGTGTGAGCCAGCCAGTCCTGCTGAGTGCTGTCTAGCAGGAATTCCCCTCTGCAGCAAGGCTGGGCCTCACTTCTGTTTCTGCAAAAGGCAGAATGAAAAAAGGCCATTTTCACCTCTGCAGCTCCAGGCTGGGGCTTGGCCAGGGCACCTGCAGGGCAGAGCTCACCAGGAGAGCACCAGAGTGAGGCAGTTCTGGGTGTTGGGATACAGGGAACTCATTCTGGGGGGAAAGGTCTGAACCTCACAAAGCAGAAACACAAAATATTAATGGCAGGCTGGGATGGGCAGGGCTCTGCTCTGGGTCTGGATCTGAGCTGGGCTGAATCTGGAGTTCAGAGGTGCTCTCGTGAAATTCAGTTTTCTGTTCAAGAGCCAATTCTAGCTGAGCCCCAGGTCAGGTGTTCTGAAGAACCTAATGCTTCTGTCTGCCACTCTGACCCCCAAGACCCTGCAGAGTTTAAGCACCAGCTTTTAGTGGCAGAAAACATATTCTTCCTGATAGTCCTGAAGATATTTCTGTTGGACCAAGCACATGCTCTGCAGGGATTGTGCAAAATCTTTCTTGAGACATTGGGGAACCCCTTTTGAGGCTGCTCTGCTGAATTCCCATCCCTCATTCCCGCTGTGAGCAGGGGACACGCTGGTATTCTGTGACACAACTGAAAACTGGATTAATTTCACTGTGCTCTAGAGCAGAGCTCAGGCTCTGCATTCCTGAAAATATCAGCATTCCTTATTTATAAAACCAGGAAAGACTACTATGTAATTCCTAAAATATGATGGCTATCTTTCACTGTACACTGATTACCCACTCAGAAGCCTTTTTATCCCTGACTTCCCTAAATATTCTAACCTGACTCCCCTAAATATTCTAAACTGCAGGTGGCAGTGGTTACCTGGAATGTGCTAAGCAGGAGTCAGGACAGGATATTCTAACACACGAAGCAAAACATAACAAAATACTAACTCCCATGGAAATGGAACCTTGCCAGGAATTGCTGGTAGCTTTGCAAAGCTAAAGAGGCCAGGTGAATATAAATAAGTGTCTATTTTCTCTGGAATGTATGGCTTCTGTAAGATGCAATTATTTTCCTCTGCAGCTTGGGTGAGTAAATGTTCCAGCTGCTAAATGAGACAAGTTATGAGCCAAGAGCAGGTTCTACATGAAAAGAAACAGCAACAATTGTTAGAGAGAAAATATCTAAGATGTGTTCATACACTGCCTAAATACTAATAAGGATCAATCATAAAATCTTTGGTGTTTACTGTGACTCCTATATATTAATCTCTGGTTTACCTGGGTTTATTTTACCTTGGGGCAGGCGTTGCAACTGCTGAATTGCTCTTTTCACTGGTTGGTTGTGAGAATCCCTCTCCTTCAAATTCCTATCCAGTCTGACAAAAAAATGAAGAAAACCCCTGGATTCAGCTGAGATCTCCTGTCTGAAATACCAACCACAGTGCTCAGAGCAAACTGGCTTTTGATCCTAGACTGGAAGAAGGCTGAGCGAGCTCGGCTGCCTCAGTTCCCTACAATAATAACATTTCTCAGGAGGGCTTTGAAACCTGGAGGGCAAACCATTGTTCGTGACCTGCAGGATGGTGTTGCTCTTCCACGGAATATATTACTCTTTGTTCCCCTTTGCCCAGCCCCAGTGGCCACCCCAGGCTCTGAGCCCTGCCCAGGGGACAGCTCCTGTCTCCCGCGATGGACGGACGCACAGACAGATGGTTTGCAGCAGGCTTGAAGTGTTTCCTCAGACAGATGCTCTGTTCCAGGAGAACAATGTGGTCTCTGGATGAAAGGAAGGGTGTCCTTCGTGGTGTTTACACACAGAGGTGGCGAGGTGCTCAGCCAAGGCTGTCACTTGGTGCCAATTCATTGTTCCTTGCACTGAGTCTCTGCCTGGAGATGAACTGCAAAGGAAGCCGGGGGTTGCAGGGGCACTGAAGGATCTAAGAGGTCACTTATGGAAGGGTTTGGTAAAAGTTGTCTCACAAATCTCTTCTTCTATGTCTGGCTTCTGGCAGGGAGTCCAGAAAATTCCTTCCTGATAATTTCGTTAACTGGGAAATAAAAGAAAGAGGAGGAAACATTAAAGCACTTCCAACATCACGACAAGGAAAAAGTAAAAGCAATCTTTGGGCAGTCAAGCTGCAAACATCCCCTCTGCATTCATACTCAATTTTATTAAAATCTAAGTAATAAATAATGGTCCTGTCTGCCCAGATTACACATTTTTGGAAGGCAAGGGGGAAGGAGTGGATTCAGCTGCCATAAAACACAGAGAGGCTGCAGCACTGCCCAGGGCTGCCACATCCCTCACACACATCCCTCTGCCACAGACACTGCCCTTACCCCAGGGGAAAAAGGAAGGAACATCTCTAGGTACCTAAGCATTTGAACAGTTCCACTAGGCTGAAAGAAAAATATTTGAAAGAGAAAAGGGCCAGGTGTGGAGGAAATACAGTGGACAGTGATGAAAACACAGAGACTGCAATTCAGGTGAAAAAGTTTGCATTTGCGTGGTTTATGTTTGGTATTTTTTAATCCCACTCTAGACTCTAGCTGCTTTACATCTTTATTGTCATTTTTTTGCAGAGTGGAGCACAAACAACCTGCAAGCAGCACCAGGCTACTGTGAGAGGCTGGGACAGGCTTGTTCATAAAGCTCAAGGGGAGACACTGAAGAACTCTGCTCTGTTGAAAAGTCAGAACATTTACAACAGCCAATGTCTCCTGGCAACTTTTCACACTCACTTGCCTAAAGCACCCTCTGGCACCTCCTGGAACAACAAATCTCTCTCTAGAATTCAGGTGCTCCCTAGAATTTAATGCAGAAATCTCTGCACTTTGATTAGGAGAGACCTAAACCATGAACATTGTGATGCAGAACTCCAGAGCTGCCTCTTTGGGGCTCCGTTTCACCTTGGTGCTGTGTTCATCATGGTGTGGAAACTCCTTAGTTACTCTAATTTGCCTTTAAACAAGAAAACGAAATTTTCTAAGTTTCAGACCCCAGATCTAAATGACTTCTCCCTGTTCATATTTAAGGGCTGAAACAGGGATTAACTCAAACCAAAGCAGGCCCTCACTCAAAACTGATTAATCCTCAGGTTTGCAGCTCTAAGACTCCTCTATATTCTATCCAATTTCTAATAAATATTTATGAGAAACATTCATTAACACAGTATTAATTAACATAGAATTTCACTACTTCCCCTATCTAAAAAAACCTGGTGCCCAGTCTCTGGCAAGTCTCTGGGAAGGAGAACACATGAATTCGTTTTTAATATTTCCAATTCATGGTTTGAAATCTCCTCCCTCTCTGCATGCTGGGATTTGTCTCTGAGAAAGTAAAATCTGTATTTTTTCAAGGCTCCATGTTGGGGGCTGTACTCCAGGAACTCCATGCCCAGAAATCCTCCCAGTCACAGCCCATCCTAATTCCAGCTAGGAGATGCCTGATTTGAGCCACCCTCCAGGTGCCTCCTGGAGATGATTCGGGCAGGAACAGCAGAACTCCTGCCCTCTGCTGCTGCCCAGCATCCTTCCTGCCACTGTCAGCTGCTGGCTGTGGGTGAGCTGTGGCACACAAGGAACATTTGGGTCAGGGAGGGCTGCTCTGCAGTGCAGGGCAGCAGCCAGAGGGAGGGGAGGTTGGTCCAGCCTGAGGCAGAGCCTCCTCCTGCTCACTCACAGCTTCCTGCCTGCTCTACCCAGGAAATGACAGGAGCAGGTCTTCAATGGAAAGTTTTCACAGCCTCAGCTAAAAATAGCAGTGAGGTAAAAGAAGTGGGCACCCACTCTCAGAGGGTCATTTCCTTTTGAGGAACAAGTGGGCTGAGGCTGCAGGCGATTTATTTATCAACGCATTTGTTTGTGCTACCAAAAATACCGCAGATGAGTTTTACCTATTCCTTTTATCTCATACAGTCATGGAAAATCTGCATCTAGGAAGGGTTAAATAATAAGTGAAACACGAGCAGATAATTCAGTGGAGCTCCCTGAAGAGGTTTTGGAGGTCCAGCTTTGGTTGTTCCCTGCCTGGGGCCGGCTCTGGGCAGGTTGGATGCTGTGGTGAAGTGCTGACTCAGCCTGCAAACTTCACTTTCCCTCCCCTGAGGTCAGCAGTGGCTTCTGCGGGCTGAGGTTACAGGGGGCTGCAGCCTGAACAGGGCTGAGAAGCTGCAGGGGAGCAGTGTGAAGCATTAACCCCTGGACAGTCACACCCAGGACTGCTCCCTGCCAGCTCTTCCACGTGGAAAATTGGGTTTTTTGTGAGAACCTGAATGCCAAGAGCTCCCTGTTATCAGCTGGCCTGAATGTCCCACAGTCACCCTGAACTCCACCCAAATCCAAGTGGTAAGAGCAGTGTTAGGTGCAGGTTAGGCTGGGCATCACCAGAGAGTGCCAGGGCTTGTCCCAGCACTAAAACCTACAACCAGAGTCCCTAAACCCAATCAAAATGTAAATTAGCAGCAATGATCCCAAGGCATGGCTGGCTCTCCAGGCTTGAAATCACCTCCACCCCAAGGCCAGTGAAATCTGGGCACGTGTGCCCAGACCCAGGGCTACCCAAGAGACCTGGGCTTCAACAGAAGGCTGGAGCAAACCAGCAAACTGAGCCTGAACCAAACCTGGGTGAACCAAACCAGCAAACTGAGCCTGAACCAAACCAGCAAACTGAGCCTGAACCAAACCAGCAAACTGAGCCTGAACCAAATCTGCCTGAACCAAACCAGCAAACTGAGCCTGAACCAAACCTGGGTGAACCAAACCAGCAAACTGAGCCTGAACCAAACCAGCACACTGAGCCTGAACCAAACCAGCAAACTGAGCCTGGAGCAAATCTTGGTGAACCAAATGAGCAAACTGAGCCTGGAGCAAATCTGGGTGAACCAAACCAGCAAACTGAGTCTGAACCAAATCTGCCTGAACCAAACCAGCAAACTGAGCCTGAACCAAACCAGCAAACTGAGCCGTGCCTAAACCTCAGGGGAAGCCCCCAGCATGGGCTGAACCTGCTCTCCTGAACTCCCAGCTCTTTTTGGCAGTGTGGTTAAAATGTATCTCAAGTATCAGTTCTCATTATTTGCTCATTTCTAGCTAGAGGAACAGGAGATTATGTGATTAATAAATACAACATTGGTGTTTAAGGTGCCTGGCACTGGTTGCTCTGGAGCACACCACTATTGATCTGTTTAATGAGAGAGCTGATTAAATGAGGCCACAGGCACATATGGAAAGATAATGAAAGATTAAATCATAAAGAAAGATACTGAAATTACAGCTGCCAGCAGCCATGCAGGCCAAGGAAACGCCTGCCTGGGCCCCCTTCAGCGTGTCCTGTGTCACCTCCTGCTGCTGTAGCAGTGGGACAGAGCCCTGGGGATGCCCAGGGAGGTGACCCAGAGGCTGCTGGGGTCAGTCTGTGTGCCTCTGGTGGCCATCAGCCCCTGCTCCAGGCCCCACTGACAGCCAAGCCCCCCTCGCCTCCTCCCAGCTGGCAACGGGGGTGTGTTCCCCTGGGGGGACCAGAGACAAAAGGAGCCCCTTGGAGGTGGCAATGTCACCCTGTGAGGGTGCCACACTCACACCCTCTGCACCTGTGCCACCCCACAGAACCCCTGGGTACCAGGGATGCCATGGGTGTCCCACACGTGTGGCACTGACCCTCTGGGACAATCCCAGGGATCCCCTGGGTACCAGGGATGCCATGGGTGTTCCCCCATGTGGCACTGACCCTCTGGGACAATCCCAGGGATCCCCTGGGTACCAGGGATGCCATGGGTGTCACACACGTGTGGCACTGATCCTCTGGGACAATCCCAGGGATCCCCTGGGTACCAGGGATGCCATGGGTGTCCCACACAGGTGGCAGTGACCCTCTGGGGACAGCTCCACCTGTGCCACCCCATACCAGGGATGCCATGGGTGTCACACACGTGTGGCACTGACCCTCTGGGGATCCTGCAGCAGTCAGGGGCTCCTCAGAGAAGGCAAAGCTCAGCCCCAGTGGCTCCTCCCTGCACTCTCCACGTCCTGCAGTGCCCAGCAGGAATTGGAACATGCAAAGCAAAGCCCTGGGCAGGAACTGGTGCAGCAAAGCTGCCCCTGGCTGGCAGAGTGCCCTCAAACCTGCCCTGCCTGGGAGGATCCTTTAGATGCTCCAGCCCAGCATGCACAGCCCCACCTCTCCTTCCCTGCCCACCAGGCCCCAGCTACCTCAGGACAGCTCTGTGCTACACAAATGGGGAAGAAAAAGAATGATAAAATAAAAAAAAAAAATTAAATAAAGTTAAATATTTTAAACCCTCTACGCCAAATAAAAAGGGGCATGACTTCTTAATTGAAAAAATAAATAAATAAAGGTTAAGAGAAACACACAGCTGGAGAAAAGGCAGAAAAATACCAATTACCTTTCTTTTTGATTGCTTGGATCAAAGATCACAGTCATTCTTTTTCATATAATGTTTTGTATCCAGCTAAGGTGTGTATCTATCAGCTCTGAAAAAGATTTGCAAAACCATTTTTGAGAAAAAAAAAAAGGTAACCTTTGACCTATGTTGCATGGCCAAGTGTTACAGCTTTCAGCTACTCTTCCATTTTGTGGGTTCATTTCATAAAGGACATTTCAGCATATACAACACATAAGGCAGAACTTATCCACTGACCTCTCTGTTTGCTCAGATCCAGCACTAGATTTTACTTTTTTCCCCCTCTTTTCTCAACTGATATTGTCTAAAAATGAATATTCCAAAACGTACACTCCTAAATTGGTGACAAAAGGTGAAAAGTTGTTCATTTGGTCTGAGACTCCAGAGGCCCAGGGGTCCCTGTGAGTCAGGTCACACTCGCCACTGCTTTTGCAAAATTCACTTCTGTTGTCACCCCAGAGCCCAAAGAAGATCCAAAGTCAGTTCCTTTTAATTAAGACATCCAGCCACAGCAGCTGTGAAAATCTTTGCCTTAATTGTACAGAACAGGAAAGATCTGGGCAAAGGAATCATGGAAGTCACAGTCTTTGCTTCACACGCAAATAAGGTGAATTATTTTCCTCAGG